CTCACTAAAGACGACACCCTAAGCTACTTTAAGCCTCTGCGTACGTTTAAGGAGAGAATCGCATCCTGAACTCTTAGAATATGAACTAAAGAGTCAAAACGACTAGTCCAGGCATTTAGATTTAGGGGAAAGTAATCCCATGAGCCCCAGTTTTATGACTCTCGTGTAGCAACATGTGAGAAGAAAAAACTGTACGTCGGAGGTGTTAATTGTCACCTTGTGCTGATGAAGCAGTAGCATTGTGAAGCACGGTGGAAAGCAACAAGAATAACAGGTTTAAAAAACGTCATGTAGGAATTAAAGTCTAAAAGCAGTGTGCTTTCTTACCCTAAAGAGCTGAAAGGAAGGAATTTTAAGAGAAAGGAGACATAACAAGCCTCACTTCATAAAAGATGATTGTAAAGACAGTGATGAACTGTGGATTATGACTACTGGTAAGGTCAGGACTAGCACAGCTCTGCCACGTGTAGGCATGGGAACAGCCCTGGATGCTGCCTGACAGCTGAACGACCCTGGGACATTTCAAGAGACACTGAGAAGTTCACCAGAGATACCCCCAGGAGGTTGCCAGTCTGAAATCTCACAAACTATTACAGCTACTTTGATCTCCTCTTCCAAGTAGGCTTGCAATGCCAGGTTGTGAAGAACTTCTAAGACTGCCAAAGCATTGCGACAGACCCTAACTGTTGTTCTAGGCAAGAAAAGCCAAGTATCAACTGCCAGTGTAAGAGCTTGAAATGTTTCCTATGCTGCTATCTGATCTCTGGTGATGGCAACAGAAATTATGCAAGCCGCGTGCATAAGACAATGGAAAAGGATGAGGAATCAATAAAAGCATCTGCACTTCTAAGAAAACAGAACTACTCCTTGGACAGTTCCCAAAAAGCAAGCTATAATTATCAGGTACTCTGAAGATATTACATCTATTTTCAGAAGGTGCCAGGCTTCCTGGATAAAGTATCCCAAGAGCCAAAACAACAGGTGACAGAAGGAGGACTCTTGCTTTCAAGGACACCATTTTTGGGCCGTATCATTTGAGATGAGTTGGACACCACGGCAAGTTCAACGGTTGTTACTGGGAATAAGATAAAGAGCCTCATGCTTAAAGCTCCAGTATACCCCAACAGAAGATGCCTGTTTCACTAGGTCTTGGTGCCTTAGCTTTAAATAATAAATAAAGCATTACTTACCTTGAAGAACTGAAGCACAAGGCGAGATTACAAAATTGACATCACTAGAGGAGGCAATATTATCAATAGTATTGGAAAAAGTGGTGATTTCATAGGGGTTGGCAATTTTCTTCCTTTCATTTCTTCAAGCATTGGGTTGTTGCCAATAAACAGATTGCAAGTCATGTCAGAAGCTTTAAACCAACCATAACTCTCCTTACGAAGCTCTCTTATGAAGTGACTGATGTTGCAAGCTAATTCACTTTCCATAGAAAGGTCAAATTAAGAAAGTTAGGAATGTGACATCATTCATCTACATCACTTGTGATCCAGCCTTTACTTCTGCTGTCTTAGGGACTTGATAAAATCTGCTTACAACCCAAACTCTACAGACATGGAATAGATCTCTTCAACAGGCCCCTCCCTTTCTCTGATGAAAAAAAAAAAAAAAAAGCCATCTTATACATTCCCTCTTGCTCCTTCACAACCACGACTGAAGGATAGGTTAAATCAAGGATGGGAAGCTCCCAGAATCATCAAAAGCAAATGTCACAGAACAGAAATTCTCTCCATACATAAACATTATGGTTTCAAGAAGGTCGATCAACCTACGTAACATTTGTATAGAAATGCCATGAAAAGAAACCCACAGAAGCTATCACAGGCAACGTTCTATGTAAACAAGAAGGGAGCCAGATCATTCCCGCTATGCACTGATCAATCCAAGTAGTTGTAAATGTGTATTCAACGTGCAAAGCGCTATGTTGTGTACTATGGTGGTACATCCATCAGATCGGATGAGGATTTGGAGGCAGACTTAATCTACAGACATTTTTTTCAGACCGAGAGAGGTCAAAAAGGTCATAGATAGTAAATTCATTTTTTTCCAGAACAAAATACTTCAAGGAATGAGCAGTTTGCCATAAATGTGAAAAAGAAACATCAGACTTTTTGGTCCAGAAGTGATCATGCCTCACATGCCTGTTTCCCGTCTCCTTTTTATCTGTAAGGAGATCGCAGCCTGATGAGCTCAGGCAGAGATAGCTATGCTGTAGACATGCAAAGCAAGGTGAGATGACCTTTAAGGTCTCTTTCAAGTGTGTTGACCACATCGCCACTGAGAAAACTCAAGAAAACCCCAGCTGCAATAATTGTTGTAATTAATTGCTTTACCAATACAACTTGTAATTCAAACATCAGTTTTGTAGCTTCTGGTTTAACATCTCAGTACGCATGGAGAACTCTTCTCCCAGGCTGGTTATCTTCATACTTGTCAGAACAGGCACTTCCTATTAAATGCTGTGGGAAAAGTGCCCCCAAGAGATGTATGACCTATTTGAATCACCCTGAGAGAGAAAAAGATTTTTCTGATGTTAAATGTAATTTTCAATTTGCACTAAACAGCATTAAGTTTTTTTGCTTTCTTCATACAACCTGTGTGCTCTGGTCTACCTGTTAACATTAAAAAAAGGGCTTCCTTTTAGACTGTAGGAGCACTTGGCCTGTCAGTCGCAACTTCAGCTATTAAAAATATTGTAACATTCAGCAGTAATTGCAGGCGAACTTCTAAAGCACTTGGTTCAAGCATTTCCACCAAAGAGCAAACCGCTCCCCTCATGGCATATAATCACAGCCATTCCACGGAAGCCATTGTAACCATGTGTTGCATTAAATATTTTCCTCATTTTTCTTAAACATTTCTCTCTTTCAGTGCCAATTACAGCTAGAAGACAACTGGGAGAAATGCTGATACCAAGGCAGTCTTTTGCATAAAAAAAGATTTCGCGCTCAGTTTGCTTAGTCATGAATATATCAGCATTTAACAGTAAATAAAAGAAATCCCTTTGGATGTTTCTCCTGAAGTCATATAGCAATAACCTAGAAGGAACACTGCAGACTGTATTTTATTTTAAAAGAACTAAATATTTCTTACCTTTAACAAAATTATGCGCAGCCTAAACCAAAAAAAGTCAAAGAAAAAGGTATTTTCTTCCCAGGATTCTCTTATGAATAACTTAGGGTCTGAGGCTGTTGGGGTGGGAAAACCCTATGAGCTTGCTCTAAGGGGGCATCAGAAGCATCTGCAAGAAGCAGGGCTCTTGAATTCACTGAAAACCTCCAGAAAAATACCAGTAACTGGATAATTATATAGTGGTTAACACACTAGGGTGTGAGAAAAATCATCCCAGTATTTGAAATGGAAGACATCAATACTTGCAGGTGTCATGGCACCTAGACAACGCATCTCAGAGAGCAACCATTTCTCTAAGTCCTAATCTTTTGTTCCTTCTGGTCTTTTGTATGGCAATTGCTAGCAAAAGAGAGCGGAAAAAATTACTTGTGCCTTTTTTATCATAAACAGAAGGTTTGAAGGAGAGAGGCTTATAAAAAAGACAGTAGAATTGTTCCTGGAGGACATCTGAAATGGCAGTGGGGAACCAGGGCAGTGAAAAATGAGCAAGTGAAGTAGGAGTTAACCTACCAAAAACTTTATTTTATTTACTTCTGCTGATGCTATTTAGTGCCAACTTCTAATATGCCTTTTGGATGAAAGTTTTTCTTTAAAAAAATCACTATAGTAACCTCTTCATTATGGAGCTACTATTTATGAACAGAAGACTCCTCAGCCGTCCTCCCCCGAAGGCAGGAAATAACAGCCAGGGCATTTCTTAAAATGAGAAATGAGACAAAAGAACACACGCCACTTCTCAAGCCTTTCTTACGTATCCTGAAGATCAACAGTGCTATTCGTGATGTGAAAATAACGTGCTAGGAGATACCAGGCAATACAGAAACGCTGACTGAAGGGAAGGGTAAAGAAGGGCAGCTGCTCACATGCAGCTTGAAACACCCTAATGCCAAATGTGGTGAATAATGCCTTTTTTTTAAAAAACTTTTTTATATATAAACATAGCCACCACCCACATCACATAATAGTCCCATGGCTCTCCCCTCCCCACCGCTGTGCCCCACCCACAAACATGCACATCAACATCCAGTGTATTTTTAACAGCTTTGGTATACAACTTCCTACAGGACACGTTAACCTTGCGTCCCCAAAGCAGCGCACTGTGCACGACTGCTCGGTAACAGCAAAACGAAGGAAGCCCCAATACGAGAAAAATGTAACTCCCTGCAAGCGATGATGCACGTAATGCCCTGAAGTTCCCTTGCGCTGTGCCCATAAAGCAAAGGGCCTCTCCAGCTTGCAGTTTCCCCTCAAAAGATTCTTTGCGGATGTGAGCAGAACAGGCTTTATTCATCATAAACTCAGCTTGTAAGTTCTGCACCCTGGCAGGCAGAAAAGCCCATCACAGAATCAAACTCCTACGGGTTGTGATAAAACAGAAATATCTGCAAGTGTCATCCCGCAGCAGCAGAGACTCCCTGTAAAGCCACGTCCACTTGAGCCAAAGACTCTCCCTTAGAAATCAGCAGCACAGCCCGCGGCACTCTGAAGCCACACACTCAAATAGAGAATCGAGCCATTTGAAGTCCAAACTTTTCTTTAGAGACGTCTGTTGGTCTTTCTTTACCACCAGGGAGCCTGAATTACATGCAAAATCAAGATGGATCAAGGCGTGAGAGAGGTAAAAAGGAAAAAAAAAAGTTTCATTTTTCAGTTTGGGATGGTTGGAAGGGTTTTCTCATCTGTTGTCAAAGAAATGAATGGCAACTTTTCAGATACGCTAGAAAGCAGAGTCTTTGTCCTTTGCACTTCACTGGTCACCATCTGGTGTGCTCAATTGCATCATGCAGAAATCAGCTTTTTTTTTTTTTTTTTTAAAGAGAAAACATAGAATGATATTTCACTATTTGTTCCAGTAATTTTTGCATACTAAAACTTTGGAGTCTTTAAATGATTGTAGCTCCAGCCTATCACAGATGTAAAAATGGCTTCGCTTACTTGTAACCATCATATACGGATCAGACCACTGGCCCATCTTGTGCGGCACGCTGTCTCCCGCGCTGGTCAGATAACAGCTGCTTCAGAGGAAACCACGCATGATGCTGCGGTAGGTAGCTGGAGAATCAGTTAGTTGCCCAGAAGGAAGTTCCTTCCCCAAACACCTGCCTTGCGTGCAATTGCTGTTAAACTGGGTTCTTCATCTTGGCAAGAGATCGTACTGCTCTTCAGCTTCTACAAACTGACCCTGGGACCCAAACAGACAGCGATGGTGGTGGGCTGCCCCATGATGTTAAGCAGTTCCTACCTCAGTGCTCGGAAACATCTATCCCTTAAAGCTCTGCATAGCAAACATACAAAAAGGGAAGGATTTCCTTTTTAATTTTTTTTTTTTTTTAAACATTTAGCTCAAGATATTAAATACAGAGGTCACAAGAGATCTCTTGTTTTAGAACGCTGATAGTTGGAGGAAATAGTTGCAAGTACATGCTGCGATCAGAGACTTCCTGGTGGGTGATGGGGAAGCAAGAACATGAGTAAATGCTGAGGAAGACATGTCAATGTTCAACATGGAACAAACCGGCACTGCAAACCGCATCTCTGATGCAGCAGGACATTCCAACTGCAGACTAATCAGCAAGGGAACAGGATACCCACCAGGATCTTCTTGACATGTAGATATAACAAATTCCATGGAGTAGTGCAGCAGCCTACACAACGACAGCAGCCGGCCTGCAAGCAATGCCGCAAAACTGTGATTTTTACCTGGTCAAGACCTCTTCATAGAGGGAACATTTTAATCTGGAGAAACAGCATAAGGCTTTACAGGCCTTTATCAGTTTGGGTCGATCACATTATAATTGACTGTTCTGTTATCCATAACACAGAGTTATCTGGAAGTCAGAAAGGTGTTGCACCTCCTCCTGCAGTTAAGTCAATCAGAAATGGCCTTGAGAGCCAGCTCACTGCTCTGCCAGCTCGGCACCGCAGATGTTCAGCCCAGAGAAACCAACCGAAATTCTGATGTGATACTTCCTGTGCACGTCACAGTGCCGCTTGGTGTAGAGAGCGGTCTTGCGTGCTCACAGTCCCTCGGGTGTCCTAGAAAACTGGGTCATCTCCCCTTAGAGTAGCTCTAGCCCACTGAAGATTCTCTTTTTCCAACTCTTTCTCCACGATTCCAGCCCTTTTGCATTCCTTCCCATCTCTCCACAGCCTGCATCAGTTCAGGACACATCCTCACCCCTCCCAGTCACTCTACTGTGTCCTTCCAGTCGGTGTAAGAATCTGGGAGAGATGTACATCTTTGCTCAACATGCTGCTTCAACATTTACCAAGGGCTGCATTAAAACACACGTGAAGGAAACAGAGCGAAACAACTCTGAACCATAACACAAAGCTTGTGGTCTCTAGCCAAGACGTTGGGACCACGACCGAGTAAGAGGAGACCTGGCATGGGGGGGGGTGGTTCATCATCACCTCTAACTGCGTAACACAGCATCACTACCAACATCCAAGCTAGATCTGCAGATTTTCACTGCAGCCAAAGAAGAGGCGGTGGTACATTCGCTAGAGCTTCAAGTACTGCTTATCTGACCAAATGTAGCCACTCTTTAGAACAAGGTAAATCACCCAGATATGCAGATGGCATCACATGGCTCTGTCAACTCAGAGAGGGAGGGCTGGGGGACTCTCACACATATAAGCTGTTATAGAAATCATACTTAACACCATCAATCTTACCATGGCATCTGCTTTCTGAGCTCCAGGTTACACCAGCTGGAGGTACACCCAACGCTATTGGGGAGCACATCCCATCCAGGAAAGAACGGCAGCGGTATGGGTAAAGCAAACCCCATTACAAACCCTTTGGACTGCTGAGACGCAATGCTTTATTCCACACAGAACCAGAGGGCAAAGGGCCACAGCTGAAATTACAATGGCACAGTGTCACTTACCATTTGTCACTCTAGGTTGGAGCTGTAATAAGAGTGTCTTTGTACGGACACAGCAGCGATTAAGGCAAAATATTTGAGCTAAACACTGGAGAGGTCAGTACAAGTCTAATAGGCAAAAAAGTCTCTTCTTCACTGGGGAGCCTGGTTTTCACCGAGTCCTTTGCTTTCCAGCCACCCCGTTACTTTCTTTTCTTCCCCTTCTTTTTCGGGGAGCCAGGCCAGGGAAAGCCCCGGAACTCCAAGCAGGCGGGCGCGTTGTGGCAGATGTAGTAAGCGTTGAGCATGGCAGCTGGGCTGAGGATATCCACTTCCTTCACCACCTTCTTTGTTTTCTTTTTGGAGCTTTTGCCTTTGCCACGCTTGGGTTTGCTACTTTTAGCTGCCTGCGGCGAGAAAATGACCACAAAAACACTCGGTTAGTCCTGCGTCTTTATGGTCTCACTTCTGGGTAGAGCATCCCCAGACACCCCAGAACAGCTCTTCCATTGCATCTTAGTCCTAGCTCGCAGCATTAGCACAGAGCCCCTCGCCACAGATCCCTGTGGTTTGCGGTGGTTTTATATACGGACTCATAAGCATTAATACACTTTCACCAAATCCATACTTGCTCTATAGGCTGTAATAATCTTTAAAATCATCAGACAGAGCTAATTAGTTTTCCCCTGTGCTTCTCTCTGGCTAAAAGAGGGTTGTGCCCAATAGAAACCATACATTATTTTCAATTGATTTTTTTAATTAATGCATTACAATACAATCCTGAAGTAAACTAAGCCTGTGTTGTGTATTCATCCACTACCGTGTGTCTGCTTGTGACTCTGGATCACAAACCAGAAAAGCAGGTCTCCCTTCTACAGCTGTGGCCTTTTCGGGGTTCTGTGGTACAGTTGCTCTTCTACCATTAGCGGTAACACAAATCTAAGCAGCAGCTCTGCCATTCTCTACACAGGAAGGAGGCGTTGCCAAGACTCACCCAAGCCCTACAGCAGGCCAAAAAAAATACCCCTGGTAACTCCAGGTGATTAGCACTGGTGGCTGAACACCCAGCCTTTCGCCTCCAAGAGTCTGATTCAGTCCCTGGATCATTTTCTCACCCATCCTCACAACGTGTCTGCATGGAAGATGCTGCCTCCAGGTACTGAGCAACAGAAACCAGGCCAGGGACCCGGAGGGATCTCTCATCGCTGCTGCGTAGGCAGGAACATGGGGATGGCAACACAGAGCCCGAAGGCAGGCAGTGCCCAGGAACACTGAGGATGAAGCGACAGGCAGTCCCAGGGAAAAGGCCGGCCAGGAGTGAGTGACTGAAAGTATTTGATCTCTGGTCCAATGCCAACAGCACTTTCGGTACACACAGAGTCACTTATGCATCTGCCCATCTATTTCTGTTATTTGCCTAGTTTTGCACACTGTAATTAAACGGATCCAAGCACTTCATTAGCAAGAATTAGCAGAGGTACAGCCAGAAAGGCCACAAGTAACTATCAGTTGGCATAAACTAGGGGAAGGCAGTATACATAGCATATTTTTCATCATATACATTCTAAAGAATCCCTTTACAGCTCAGTACTGTTAAGTGCAAAAAGAGACAAACATTTGTGCTCCAAGGTCTGAGAACACAGTCAGGGGTACAATTTTCAGAATCCACCGAGACCACAATGTGAGGGAATATGTACTGGTAAAGGAAAAAATAAAGAAAAAAAATAAAGGTCAAGAGTTCTAGATGAAACACACAGAACCACTACCCACAGACAGAAACAAGCCAGAAAATACAGAGTGCAAGCTGCAGCTGATGGTGGATTGTTTCTGAAACCTTCAGTCATGCAGACTGCAAACTACTTGAACTCAGGCATGTACTAGAGACTGCGACGAGCCTTTTTTGCAGACCCTCACTGGACAGAATTTGTTGAATACTTCCTGTGCTGGAATGAGCACAACGTCACAGAGTAGATGCTCATGTCAGATTTTTCAGCCAGCCAACTGAATCACACGCCCTGTTTACACGCTCCCAGCAGGGTCACTGGTGGATTTTGTGAGCGCAATTAGGTTCCTGGTCAGAATTTGCCCTATAGCTGATCTTTCAAAATAAAAAAGGTGCTTACAGGTAAGGGCAAACTGTTGCCTAAGTCTGTGTGAGAACCAGGGAATGCCTTTTGCCTAGTGCAGCCACTGCTCCTGCTGTCCCTCTGCAGCGGATACCTCCGGCCTCCAGGCTTTAAACGTTCTCAATCATTGTCAGCCTCTTCTCTCGTTTCCCGTCTCTCACAAAACGTGGCACTGGTGAGCTGCAGTCTGCATTCAGCTCACACATTCGAGCACAACCTAGAGCAGGGGTTCCCTGAAGCGTGGGAAGCCAACAAGCTACAGCACCACAAATGCTGTCAGAAGTAACACCTTGTGCGTGTACACGCACATATGGCAGTGAAAGAGCCAACGCTTGGCGCGCCGGCTGACGACCCTGGGATTTCCTATGGATTTATCAGGCAACCACAGGACATGTGATGCTGAACAGAGCACAGTTCTTTTTCGGTGTGTAGAGGCAGGACTCGCACAGATCAGACTTCCTACCCTGATCTCTTGTGAGTTTTTAAACCGCAGCCCAACGTGACATCTGAACGCTCTTCAAAAGGACCGGGAAATCCATGTTTGTGCAGTGTTTACATTCACCCACAAGCAGTAAGATTTGAGGCTTTCTAGGATGTGGGCAAAATTTTACAGCCTGTAGCCAAGAACAACAAGAAAAACTAGAAATCAGAATCAGGTGCATACTTGCACGGGAAATCCACATTTCTGCAGCATTTTCATTCACCCACAAGCAGTAAGATTTGAGGCTTTCTAGGATATGGGCAAAATTTTGCAGCCTATAGCCAAGAACAACAAGAAAAGCTAGATATCAGAATCAGGTACATACATGCACACAAAGTGAATTTGGGCAGGTCAGTTTATGTCCTGCAGCCTTGGAAAGGAACCTTTGGGATATTAACTCCAGATCCTTAAAAAGCGGTATCAATTCTCTTCAGAAGAATCAAACCTGTATTACCATGGCTACGTCCTTTTACTGAACGGAGGGACTCCACATCAAGCCCTGAGGATGGACCCTGCAACACACAATCATGCAGTGGGTTACACACCGTGCAAAGCAATAGTATCATTCCCCTCCTAGACTTTAAAGGGGAAAAGAAAAATATATAGAAGTTAGGCTCTTGCAAAACCAGGTCGAGGTGTGCCATACCTAAAAGCATTTCTTTGCAGAGAATCACCCGTGAAGTCATCTACTAACTGCCAGATTCCAGGACTCAGAGCTTTTCAGCAAAGCACTTGAGATTTTCCTCTAACAATGCAAGACTAGACAGGGAAAAAAAAACAAAAAGGAGAGCCTGAACCTCAACTCGGTGCCAGCAACCTGGCAAAGGCACTTTCCAAACCCTGAGCTCATGGCAGTGCAGCCGGACTGCCCCATCCCTGCTTGCGGGACATAGACTCATAGAATCATTAAGGCTGGAAAAGCCCTGTAAGCTCCCCCAGCCCAACCGTTCCCCTACCCCTGCCATCCCACCCCCAAACCCTGGCCCTCAGCACCGCCTCTGCCCGGCTGTTAAGCCCCTCGTCCCATCACCCCTTCCCTGGGAGCAGAGACCAACACCCACCTCACTACACCCTCCTCTCAGGCAGTTGTAGAGGGCAATAAGTGCTAGCCCCGTCCGCCCAGTCCCAGCCCCGAGAGGGACATCCCACATAGGACAGGCAGGACCCTACCTCCCTGTCTCCACAGCAGCTATGGAGAGCTTCCCCTACACAACCACCACACCACCCCCCTAGCCCCCACGTGAAAAGACAAGAAGTTCTCCACAGCCTTATCACAGAATGTTTTGGGTGGGAAGGGACCCCTAGAGGTCACCCAGCCCAACCCCCCCACAGGAGCAGGGACACCTTGAACCACATCAGGTTGCTCACAGCCCCGGCCAACCTGGCCTGGAATGGTCCCAGGGATGGGGCCTCCACCCCCTCTCGGGGCAACCCCTGCCAGGGTTTCACCACCCTCACTG